TCGATAAATCCCCACGATAGAGCTTCCACGCCCCCTACCGATCCGATTACTCGCTTGCCGAGGGGAACGATTCCTTCTTCCTCGTCAGCGGACCAGTTATCAGTGGCGCTCGGTACTTTTACCAAGCCTGGCTTGGGGCGAGGGTCAGGAGCGTCAGTGCCGACGTTCACATAGCCGTACAACCCGTTTTCCTTATCTCGGGGAGAACAGTTCGGTCCGAGGGCTTCGGTACGGTTACCGAATAGAGAGGAGCAGTCGAAACTGACTATCTTCGGCGCAGGAGAACCTCTAGGAGCAGGATCTTTCCAACGACAGAGTCGGCAGGGTGAACTCCTCTCGAGGATCTTCAAGCGGAGTTCGTCAGCCTCTTCCTCGTAAAGGTCCGCAATTCTCTTAGTCAGTAACTCTTTCGATCGTGAGTCAGTGGGAACAGCGAGGCTATTGATCCAGTCCTCGATCCGGCTTAGGAGATCTTGGAGCCTAGTGGGGGGCGGGGAGTCATCTTTCTTTTCTTCATCTAGCGATCCTTCGCCAATACACCCTTCACACCAGTCACCTCTACTTGAAGCTTCAGCCTTTACGAGGAAGTATACGGCTCGTCGCACTATGGCTCGCCAAGGGTCCGGCACGATACCGCGAGAGTCCAGCAACTCGTACTCGGTTTCACCGAGTTTGGAGGGCCTTTTGGGGGAACTCCCCAGGGTTAGCGCGATATTGTCTTCCACTACAGAGGGGTCCGCGGGACACTCTTCTCCTGGTAGAGGAGGAACTCTCAGCTCCGGGAAGTGCACTACCGTCTTCGGCGCGTCCTGCCACGAGAACCTCTTCGTCGCGGTCCCTCCCCCTTCGTCGCGGTAATCGGAGTCGTCCGACGTCACAGAGTTGATCCGTACTGGCTTTTCCTCTTGGAAATTACGGTTGGCTCGCTTCGCTTCTCCGGACGAGGCTAGTGTCTTTTGGAACCATTCCAACCAGTACTCAGGAGTAGATAGTCGACCGGGGGAAGAATCTCGGGTCCTCGCTAGCTGTTCTTCGGGAATGCCTAGTAAGTCACTTAACTCGGCAAGAGACAATTCCTTCGATTGTTCCGCATTCTCAACTAACCGGCGCTTCAGTTCGACTTCATCGAGAGGAAACAGTCGGTCTTCGAGCTCTTTGTCATATTCTTCTTTCTCTTCAGCCAGCTCGGAAGGCTTACCTTCTTCCAACGTATCTAGTTCCTCTTTGGTGAACACCCTCGCGAAGGAAGGCTCCTTCTCCGGTTCATTCTTTGGGGACTTAGTACTGGCGACGTCCTCAGAGTCCTTTTCGGAGGCGTCGTCTCTCTCAGGAGGGGTCACGTCTTTTTCCTGCCCGCGTGGGTCCGCCTTTGGTACTGGAACACTAGCTTTGGTAGCTCCATATTGTTCTGGGGTTGGGCTTTCGAGTACCTCCGTCACGTCTGGGGTTAACTCCTCCTGTATAGGTCCGTTATTGGACTCACCTTTTTCCTCGTCTTGATCGAGCACGCTCGAAACCATACTCTTGTGGTTCGTTGACGTCGACGGGTAGTCTCGTTCCGTCGAGGACGCCTGAAGTAGCGGCTTTTCCGTCTCTCCTTCCTTGCTTAGTTTTTCGTTCGTTGTTTCGATCTCGCTCTCTTGGTCATCTCTCGTAACCACTCTTAGGTTCGTATTGGAGCGTTCGTCGACGTGCGCAGCTATTGCGGGACCGTCCCTTATGGGTCCCGAGCCTACCTCTTTTACAAACGCTTCTCTCTCCGTCTTCCAACAGTCGTTGGGGTTTGAGACTACCGATACCCCGTTCCACACGGGCGCCGTACGTCCTTCATGCTCAAACGGCAGTATTTCTTCAGTTCTCGTCATATGTTCATTGCTTACGTTCGTTTCATTTCTTTTCGGTAAGGCGGAACTCATCCCACCTCCAACAGGACACACTTCATACCTCTTGGTCGACTCCTCCGCGGAGTTCAAAGTGTTCCCATTTGTGTCGATCCATAGACAAGAGGAAGGAGCGACACTCCCTTCCCCTTCCTCTCGCCCCCATCATTGCTGGCTGGGCGCTTGCCCTAGGACAGGTCCCACCGTTGCCCCTGTCGGACCGCCAAGTCTCTTCAGTGACGTCTTTAGAGGGCACTCCGCCAACATGTGACCCGATTCATCACACAGGAAGCACTTGCGTCCGTTCCTCGGCTGGGTGTTCCGGAATCCGCTAGGAGGGTCACGCTCACATTCAGGACCGATGTGGCCCACTTCCTTACAGTGAGGACATGTGGCTTTGCCGCGGCGACAGTGAATACGACTACACCCCAGAGTGTGACACCGACCGCACACGAGAAGACCATTTTGGGTTCGCAAGTCCGGACCCACACGAACGCCCCTGATAGGCGTAATAGGAAGCGTTCCGATAGGCTGATAGTGCAGAGAGGGGTTCGGATCAGGAGGAGAGTAGGCAGCAGCTACATTCATCGCTGGGGAAGCATTGGCGGTCGTCAGAGGACGCTCCATCAACTGCTGTTGCTGTTGAAGTTGTTGCTGTTGCTGCTGAGCGAGTAGATTCTGCGTCTGCTGCATCATGTTCATCATGCGTTCGAGGACAGCGTTCTCTTGGGAAGCTTTAGGGGACGGCACATTGTCGAACTCGGAGTCGTCTTCAACCGGACGGTGCATTTTCTTAAGGAGCAGCATGGCCACAGCCGCAGGGCTGGAGTCAATCATTGTCGTGGTGAGGGCGTTCCTCCAATCTCGGTTCCGAAGTCCAGACAAGAAGTACTGGTAACGCATCTGAGTGTCGTAGCACTGAGCATCATCGCAGAGACTTGAAATCATGTCGCCCCACACTTCGGCGGACATTCCCCGGGGTCGTTTAGTGTTCTTCAGATTCTCAATCAGTTGCAAAGGGGTCTGACTGATGAACTGGTTGTGGAACCGAGTTCTCAGAGCCTCCAGCTGTTGATGCGCGAGTACATCCACCAATCTTCGCCGACCTTGCCTTTCAAGCACTCCCTGAAAGCGCTGAGACGCAGGGGTTCGTCCAGCCCTATCGTGGCGTTCGCGAAGGCCTCCCAGAAGGATCTAGCTTTCTCCACCGACGCTCCTTCCGAGTAAAAGGGTTGGAGCATGCGAATTGCGTTTCGGATGTTAGTGGGCATACCATACTGGTCACTAGTAGTCGAAGGCGTATTACCATACGTAGGCGAGGAGTAGTAGGAGTTACCTCCATATTCCCCATACGCAGGACCCTGGTGGGTTCCGGCAGAAGCCGTAGTTCCTCCGTTTCCTTGTGAAGCTCGGGTTGTTCTCGTAGGGTCGACTCCGTACGCGACTCCACTGGTAATCGAAGTTCGAGACCCCAGGCCTTGGGTAGGAATTTGAAACGGTAGGCGACGAGACCTGGAAAGGAACCCTCTGAGGAACGGGGACGGTTACCGCTGGAGCGTTCTCCCCGCCTCCTCGCAAGTTACCGGAGGGCTGGAGACCCCAAGGAGGAGCGTTAGAGGTCCTCGGAGGAATACTTGCCGGGGAAGCACGTCCACCGTTTTCAGGGACAGTTGGTAGGGAGAAGAACGGGTTGAAGTCCTGTCCATATGACGTATTTGGGGTTCGGATTGTGAAACCTTGGTACGACGGGATTGCAGTCCTTACTCGAGTCGTAGGAGGGGGAGTCCCCACAAGACCGTTTCCACCAGTTCTCTCCATAGCGGCGGCAATTTCAGGAGGGGCCATGGATCTCAACCAGTTGAGGGAGTTAAGCCAGCCTTGCACCGTACCTCGGCCGCCTCCGCCGTTCAGGGTCAGCATCGAGTCCAACTCTTCCGAAGTGAAGGTCGCAGGGACCCCGGAGCCCAAAGCGTCCGCGGGTGGCTCGACACCGGCACTAGAGTTGTTCCCCCCAAGTCGGTTAGCCGCTTGGTCTATGATATTCTGCACGTTTTGCAGGCCTTGCGTAGTCGACAGACTGGGTCGCATTCTCGAAGGCAGACTCTCGGTCGGGCCTTCTTCTTCCCGGACAGTGGCGCTCTCATCTTCTCTGTTGTTAGTAGCCGACATCTTGTCCTTCCTTCTGACGTTCTCCGCGAGACTTCACTTGGAGCAAGACCTTCTCCAGCTAGCAGACTACCCTGCTTCTCCACCAGATGTCGTATACCTCCTCTTCCTTCAAGGGTCGGGTAGTCCGCGGCTGTTCAGGGAGTACGGTCTTGTTCAGTGGCTGCAGGAACGGTAGATAGGAACACTAGAGAGTTGAAAAATAAAAGTTTGTTGATTGGCTTGGCTTCCTCTTGAGTAGAAGGAGGGAAATATAAGACTGAGAGCTAACCGGAAGAGAGGCCTAACACCTTCTCGACCTTACATACACTACACTACATAAAAAAAAGGAAGGATTCACTTCGTTTGCTGTCGGCCTTCGTGGGACAACGGAGAGCCTTTGGGAAAGGGCTTGATGTCGCGAGGTGCTTTTGGTCCCACGACGCCAAGACTCCGGCGTTCTGGGGCCCCCTTATAGGACCACCCTAACGGGCTCGGTCAAGGGCACGTGCGAGGATTGAGTTCAACGGGAACGCAGCCCTGACGGAAGTACGGCGTGGGCAGAGGAGTGATTCCAGGGTCTCGGGTCATCCCGCACGGGAGGCAGAGCTCAACTGGAGATCGACCCCTCCTGGTTGAAGCCCGGGTAGCGGGAGCACCTTGAGCATGCAGTGAGACGGTTGTACTCAGATAGCACGTACGAGTCCACGTAGGCGTGACGCTGCACTGTAAGATCAAGATTGGGCTGCAGAATAGTTTCTGGCAAGTTACAATACAGTATCATCGCATACAAGTTTAGCAAGGTAATTGGCGTTAGCCGCTAGTGAATGTCTCAGCATACATGCAGAAACGTTTAAAAGAAGATTTTATCGAAATCGCATTGCACTCAAACAATAAATAAATTGTTTTTTCTTGTTTTGACCAATCAACGCATCGTTTCTAAGCACCGTATTCCCTCGTTCATTCCGTCTTTCTCGCTAGCAACACTACGAGTATGATGAAGCTGCCGACGGGTTACGGCTGCGAGACCACGAACGGCGACGATGCTGCTGCCAACAGCAACGATAACGGGTTACTGGAGGCTGAAGATTGTGCAAACGGAGTGCTGCGCCCGACCTCGCAGAGCCAGCAGTACCACAACCTGCCGGTGGCTGTGGCAGTGCCGGTTTCCTCCTCTGCTCCCAGCTCCGACCGCGTGCGCTCTGGATCTGCATCGCGCCGAAAAACTGCGCATAACTTTTCGTTCCGCTCGCTCACGGGCTCCAAGTTCATCCGGCTGGCCGACTATGCCGGCAAGCCGATTCTCATCGTGAATGTGGCGTCGCACTGTAATTCCACCACCAAGGCTTACGTACAGCTCAACGAACTGTCCAAGCGCTTCCCCGAGCTTATTATCATTGGCTGCCCATGTAATCAGTTTGGCCACCAGGAGAATCTAAATGGCGAAGAAATCTACCAGAGTCTACGACACGTTCGCCCAGGTAAAGGCTTTGAGACGGCCTTCCAGCTCACGGAGAAGGTCGAGGTCAACGGCGCCAACGCCCACGCACTCTTCAACTTCCTGCGTATTACTCTGCCGTACCCATGCGATCGTACGCTGCTGGATGAGATGTCCACACCTAGCGGCGTCTTCTCGCACCCCATGCGTCTCATCTGGATGCCTGTCACACGTGCGGACGTCAGCTGGAACTTCGAGAAGGTGCCTCACTGCAGTAAACTTCTTTTGTTGCGACATATTGAATTGCTAACATGTTGCTATTGCGTACAGTTCCTGATCAGCCCCGATGGTACGCCGTACAAGCGCTACAGTCCCAAGTTGGACTTCACTGGCATGATCGAGGACATCAAGTTCTTGTGCAAGGTGGACGTGTCCAATGAGAAGCAGCTATAACAAGACGGTCGCGTACGGCAGAAGCTACGGTAAGGAACCGAACAAACGAGCACACTGACTGAGGCACACAAAAAAACGCAAGAAGACGCGCCGGATCTGATGCCGACAGCGGACGGTTCGACTCGTCCGCGACGCAAGCCTTTCAAGAAGAAGAGAGAGGCAGAGAGAAAACAGAAGATGATTTTAGTGTTGTGAGCTCGACGTCCGAGTGATAAGTAAAACTGCGTGAAACATATTGTTGCAGTCAAGTGTCCTCCATCTTTTATTTGATATGATTCGCTAAAATTACTTTTTCTTTTTAACCAATAGACATGATTAAGCGCACCACCAGCATTTACTGGTTGCCAGCAATTGTGACTTGAGTAGCCTAAACAGTTCACCAGCAACGCCAGCAGCCCGTGTGCTTCCTGCCCCTCGTGCCGATCATAGCCCCGTGATCCAAGATGCAGCACGACGAAGTAATCTGGAGCGTCATCTCCAACCAGTTCTGCTCCTTCAAGAGCAAGTACGTCCGTAGTTTTTCGCTCCTTAGGTGCAAGCAAACCACTGATAACGATTTCTTTTTTATGCCTCTGACACAGACTGCCGGGCACAGGCAACATGTTTTGCAGTAACCCGTACAATGTGACGGGTCTGTGCAACCGGTCGGCATGCCCACTGGCTAACAGTCGCTACGCCACCATCCGCGAGGAGGACGGTGTGTGCTACTTGTACATGAAAACCATCGAGCGCGCGCACACGCCCAACCGTTTATGGGAACGAGTGAAGCTAAGCAAAAACTACACCAAGTCCCTTGCGCAGATCGATGAGCAGCTGCAGTTCTGGCCCAAGAAGCTCATCCACAAGAACAAACAGAGACTGACCAAGATCCACCAATATCTCATGCGAATGCGTAAGCTCACGCTCAAGACAAAACCCAAACTCGTGGTTATTAACAAGAAAATCGAGCGTCGTGAGAAGCGCCGCGAGAAGAAGGCCATGGTGGCCGCTAAGCTGGACAATTCCATAGAGAAGGAGCTTCTCGAGCGTCTGCAGAAGGGAACCTATGGCGATATTTATAATTTCCCTGAGCGCGAATTCTCCAAGGTTCTGGCCGACAAGGGCAAGCGCCAAACGATGGAGGAGGAGAGCGAAGACGAAGAAGAAGTCGAGTACGAACTCGAAGGAGACGACGACGAAGATGACGAGGACGTCGGACAGGTCGAATACGTTGAGGACTTTGACGAGGACGAGAGCGACCTTGAGGACCTCGCAAATGAGTTCTCGGTGGACGACGACGGAGAGAGCGACGAGTCGGACAGCGAAGATGAGGACGCGTCCAAGTCTAAGAAGCGCAAGGCACCTGCACCATCGAAGAACAGCAACAGGAAGCAGAAGAAATCCAAGGGGCCGTACGTCGAGATCGAGTACGAACAGGAACAGGAGACGGCCAATGGTGATCTCAACTGGTAGATGCAAGAATCACCTGTGGATAGACGCTGTAAACGCTGGAAAATCGAAATAGAATATTGTGCATTCACAAACTGTGGGGTGTGATATAGGAACCACCTTTTTTTGTCCCAGTCAATCGCGATCTGTAGGTGTCAGATTAACATGAGATTTTCACCGTCAGCCGTAAAATTGTAATATTCCACTAAATTAGCTTTGTTTCAGAAGTGGATATGAAATTACTCAGCGCCCGCTTCATGACACCTATCCTGTGAGCATAATTTTGGTTGATAATGAAGTCAACCCTCCGAAAATTAATTGCAAAAACGGGCAGTGATGTCTTTGGTCATTGATGCCGGCGCTCATACCTGTAGCGTGTGGCACACTGCACGAACGAGTGTGACATGGCGAGTTCTTACGTCGATATGGTTTGGTGCTGTGGTTTAATTTCCAGGAAGTGGCTAAGGCACAGGACGCGTGATCGCCACCGAGCCGCACGGCTTCTACTATGATCGAGTCAAAGGATTTGATATCCAGCCACCCATCGCTTCCAACTCTCTTTTATTGGCCTGTACCGCTCCGTTCCAAAATGAAAGTAAATATCTAAACAGAACGCTGCGCAAAAGTGCAGATTGCATGGTGTAACAAGTGTCTAAAGGCGCAATTTATCGTCACCATTCGTTTGGTCTGTGCAGATCGCAATCGGGCCAAGTATTTGTGACGGGGTCACGCAGCACCTTGCAGTTGGCTTCCGAGAGCTTATAAACTCTCAGCTAAAAGTTGCTAACATGTCCTGTTTGCCTAAGGGAGCGAAGTGATCAATTTAAGGTAAGCTGTCAGCTGAATATATTTATAGGTATATGCTTGATTAAATTTACAAGCTTTAAGTCATCTATATAAAAACAATTTCATCAGCCAATGGTTGGCCTCGGACGTCCCTGGTACCGTGTACCAGATATCCCGAAGTATGACGTGTCACACTTCATGTAGCTAGGGGTACTGTGGTCACCACACCACAGTGTGGTGTAGTGATTTCTCCAGAGCTGCGGATAATCACCCGTCGACAAAGACGCGGCACCGCCCAAGATGTTCAAGCGACGAACCCTCGGTCACGTGATGTACGGTGACTCCAAGGTGCAAGAGACTCGACGGCGTCACTACCGAACACTCAGCGAATATTGGACACGATCCATATGTAACTCAATCCAGGCTGTCCTTTTTAATAATTATGGACTGGCCGGATTCGCATTCAGCGGCCAAGAACTGACCATCTACGGTACGAACCCTTGGGATGAGTTCGCGAAAGATTCGGCGACCCTTTGAAGGCACGTTCACCCTCTGGGACAGGGCGCGAGCCGTTAAAGATACAGTCGTGCACCTCCAATTCGGCACCGGTATCAGTCGATACCCTGCCAGATTTTATGATTACGCGAATCGGATGCGCAATTACCTTTGCCCATCACCACCCTAGCAATGAACCTAAACGGTTTTGCCCTCCTCGCCTAACGATGACACGCCGCATCGATCTGATTTTAAAATTTTGGATCGGACGTCTTCATACAAACGCACACTTTGATTTTTACCGCCAAAGACAATGGGACATCGCCCTTCCTCCTACAATCCCACAAAAGCAGTCTTTGTGCGAGAAACACAAGTCAGATCCTGCATGCTCTCACTCCGAACTTGCTCGTTGGGCAACGGAGCGCTTTAAGACCCCCCCCAAGCAGTAAAGCGCACTACCGTCCAGTGTATTCTTAAGCGGTCGGCGGAAGTTGCCGCCTTGCCGGACGCCAAGATTATGCAGAAGATTGGCGTAAATGTTGTACTGAATTAACAAATAAAATATCAGTGCACTGTATTTTCGTCTGGTTTTTGCTTTACGTTGTGCACTTATGCCCTGGCATTGTTAATATGGTCCGCCCTGCCGAATTGGAGGTGCACGACTGTACTCATGCGACGGTGCAGATGACGCTTGGCGTGCAAGAAGATCCATAACGGATCATTGCTCACTTGATATTTGTATACTTGATTAGGACTTCTTATTAGGAATTGACCCGAAAGGGTAAACACAAATACAGAACAGAATTTCATCTCAAGCACACAGAGCGACGTCCGGCTTCAAGGTAAGCGTCTTGTCAAGCTTGTTTGAGTGTGTTATGCCTGTCGGTGAACTCGAAGCTCTGTAGCGAGGGCTCATCCGGCAAGGTCAAGAGACTTTGTGTATTGGCCGATTACTATCGGGAGGTTTTACGTGACGGCTTATTGTTGCCTATTTGCACGACTGGGAGTGCTTGAATTGCCTCCCTTTTTATTCTTCCTACTGTGGTGTAGTGATTTCTCCGTGGTTGCGGATTATCACCCGTCGACAAAGACGTGACACCGCCCAAGTTGGTCAAGCGACGAACCCTCGGTCGGGTGATGTACGGAGACGCCAAGGTGCAAGGGACTCGACGGCGTCACCTCCGAGTTTTCAACAAGTATCGGATACGGCCCTATGTCACTGAATCCAGGCTGTCCTTATTATTAATAATGGACTGGCCGGATTCGCATTCAGCGGACCATCTACGGTACGAACCCTCAGGGGCGGTTGGGATGAGTTCGCGGAAAACTCAGCGACCTTTGGAAGACACGTTCACCGTCTGGGACAGGGCGCGGACCGTTAAAGATGCTCATGCGACAGTGCAGACGACGCTTGGCATGCAAGAAGATCCATAACGGATCATTGTTCACTTGATATTTGTATACTTGATTAGGACTTCTTATTAGGAATAGACCCGAAAGGGTAAGCTTAAATACAGAACAGAATTTCCACTCAAGCACACAGAGCGACGTCCGGCTTCAAGGTAAGCGTCAGGTCAAGCTTGTTTGAGTGTGTTATGCCTGTCGGTGAACTCGAAGCTCTGTAGCGAAGGTTCATCCGGCAAGGCCAAGAGACTTTGTGTATTGGCCGATTATTATCGGGAGGTTTTACGTGACGGCTTATTGTTGCCTATTTGCACGACTGGGAGTGCTTGAATTGCCTCCCTTTTATTTCTTCCAGCCGAGTGTTGAACACTCGGTGATCTCGTAAAAGGCTTACCCGTGCCTGGTACCCTTCCGCTGTTGGGACCACGAGGATTCAAAACACCTGCTAGCTTTGCTCGTGCTAGTAGCGTGTTCTTATTTTACTGGTTGGCCTATATAAGTAGGTCACAAGGTCCAGTTTGTCCCGGTGCAAGGGCAGAACTGGGGTCTTCAGGTCCGCCCGAACGATCGTTTACTATCCTAGTAGACGTATTGTTGTAGGAACATCCTAACTACATCTGTAGCTAGAGTTCACGTGGGATTTCCAACACCACAACTGGTGCCGCGACCCGGGAACAGATTGTGACCATTGTGAACTGTTTGTATGGCCTTCCAGTTTACGAGCTACCAAGAGAAGAAGAACAAGAAAAAGACAAGAGACATGGCGAAAGGACAACCGACGGTACCAGTTACGCCTGCCAAGTCTGGCGGGGCTCGCAACGAGAGTTCAAGCCCGGCTGCGCGCTTTGCAGCCGGCACCGAGCTTTCAGTGAGCTTCGACGACGAAGCAGACATCGGTCCTGACGCCCACGATTATGAAGATTACGAAGACAAGACGCCGGCTCCAGAGCCAGGCGCAGCGACGCCGGAAACGGCCACGCTATCATCGGGGCTGAGCGGGACGACCAGGTCCCTTTCGAGGACCCTCGCCGACGAGCTCGATGATGTTGCGGGACCGGAACCGGCCTATGCTAATTATGACGAGGGGACCGAGGGTTCTAAGCCTTCGGTGGCGAGTGCAAAGCATTCAGCACTGCTGAAGGCACCTCGCCCACCTATCAACGGTGATACACCAGCCGCCAAGCGCGTTTTCGACCGCGTACAAGCGCTGATGCAGAAGGATGAGTGGATGCAGCTGTTCGAGCCCATTCCCAAGAAAAAAGCCGACTGGCCTGCGCTTGCGCAGGAACTTCAATACCCAGTCATCTCGGTTTCGACTAGCCAAGTCGCCGAGGATTCAGTTTCACTACTGCTGTCGCTGGGGTTCGAGAACGAGACGTACCCATCGGCGATGTCGCTCCAGGATTGGAGTCCACATGAAGCCGGAGCTGCTCTCCAGAAATGGAAGAAGAAGCTTCGGAAGGCGTTTGGCGCTGTTGGCATCAATGCCGGAAAGCAGCCTGTGAGTCGACCGATGATTCAAGATGAAGATCCGTCCAAGATTCCACTGCCGCCGACGCCCCAACGACTCGTTCGTACTCCTCCGACCAAGCGTGGAGCTGAGCGTGGTGCCTTTGGCACTACCGAAGCTTCACCGTACTTTCAAGACTCGCACATGGTTACACCACGTTCGGAGAGCCGTATGCACCGCATTTACGCAAGTAACGAGGGTTTGTTCGGTCGCCGAGGCGGTGCGCGAGCTCCCAAAGGTGGTGCCGGACGTCGTCAAGTCGACAGCGAGGGTTCGTCCAGTGACGATGACATTTTGGTGCGTACATTCGACGAGGAAGATCCTCAACTCGAGTTGATGCGTCAGATGAATGAGCTGGCGACGCTGAACGACGTAGACCCGACACCGAGGATTGAAATGGCTTCGCACCGACCGCTGGATCGCATCACGCCGTTCTCAGGCTCTCGCAACAAGAGCGAGAACTGTATGCAGTGGCTCCGTGGGTTCGTCTATGAAATGACTGGAACCCACACAGATGCCGATAAATGGTGCATTCCATTTGAGCTAAGTCTCCGGGACGGAGCCATTCATTGGTTCCGTCAGCTTCCGAAGAAGACGAAGCGCAAGTGGAAGCTGCTGAGCGACGCGTTCATCCGCTACTACTGCTCGCAGTTCACGCAGACGGCACTGTCGCGTTACTACTCCGCCGAGCGGGAACGTAATGAACATCTGTGCGACTACATAAACAGGCTGAATGGCTATGCTCGGACCGCCCGTCTACACTTCGAGAAGAGTGGTCGCGACGCGAAAGAACACGTACAGCAGTTCCTGGCAACATGCGATGATGACA